GGGGCCTATTTAGATCATTGCTATCTGATCCTCCCACTGACTAGTGGAATAAAACCTGCCAGCTTGTGGAAGAAAGAATAGGATAGTAATATCTTATGCCCCAAAAGTATCAGAAATTCAGTCTCCGGTCCAAGAAAACATAGTTGTAATAAACATGCAGCATACAACTTGAACTGAACTGTACATGCTAAAGGACCATTATAGACATACAGCATACCATAGCAGAAAAAACAGATGAAAAGACTAACATATACACCAGAATTATGGGTTAAGTAACTTTTCTTCCTGCTTGTCAGTAAATTGCAGAAGGCTATGTTAACACATTGAGGCAGTGACTAAAGGTCTGCATGAAACACTCTCAGTTCCTTAAGACAAAGTTTTGTGAGCTAGAGGAGTTCTTAGCAAGAAACATAAAACCCAAGAGCAGTTGTGCCTTCAAAAACCTAATTACAAGTAAACTTCCCTTATTCCCATGTTGTGATTGGAAAACTGAGGCAGAAAGGCTAAATCATACCGGGAGGTGGTGTTAAAGATGGGATTAAGTTTGGAAGTTTTTTGCTTTAAAACCTGAGCTCAGATTATTACATTTAGTAATATTATATCATTTATGTAATGACCAGAAGATATCTGTGTAAGGTAGATCTGTGCTTTACAGACTTCTAATCTAAGGGCTAGATTACATAATTATTCACTTGAGTGACCAGTATGATTACTTGTATGTAGATGACTCATGTGAGTTATGGTTGCAGAATCTGGAGGGAGATGATTAATCGTACACCATGATACTTTCCCTTTTCTTCTTACCCCTTTTCCTCACCTGTTTGCTTTCTGTGTATTTAATCCTTGCCTCTTTTCTCTGTGTGTCTTTACCGTGGAGCTTTAAGTGAATTATACTGTCAGGTTCGATTGCTGATATTTGGACTTGCAGAGGAACCAATGTCAGAACCTTTAATACAATAGTGAAATCCTCTATCAAATACAGCTCTTTACTGTGTGGTTATAAAAGAACTATCAGTACCTGTGAATGGTAACTATATTCTAATCATTCTTGGTGGTGATATTTGTGTAGGTTGTGGAGAGCACCTTGTAAGGACCATACTGGCCAGAGAATGTTCACGTGCTTTGCAAACAGAAGATGCCCACCAGGCTCTGCTAGAGACTATGCAAAACAAGTTTATTAGTAAGTATACAATTCATCAGAAAACTGCCTAACCGTACATGTTTTATCATTTCTGTTTGAAAAGAAAAACAGTCCATTAAAATATAATCAGATATATTTTTGCAATTCCTCTTGGAGCTACTTGGTGGTCTTGAAGCTGTAGACCGAGATTAAGTAGTATGTTGTAATGTATTTAGTGAATGATAAATTAAACCACAGAAAAATACATACAGGAAAGGGAAATCTATTCCTTGGTTGGGAAGTCATTGAATGTTAAAAGCCAGGGAACAGATAGTTTAGAGGGAGGAATTTTCTAGGTTGAATCACTGACTATAGTATAGAGTGAGTTTGTTAGGAATTAGTGATTTAATAATCACAGAGGCTATAAAATGCTTCTTCCCATGCCCCCTTTTTTACCTAGTGGAAATTAAGATCCATTTTATTTTTTGATTAAAAATCCTGTGTGTGGACAGATTCTGGTTTGTGAATTAAATAATTTAATTTTTTTCAGAAAAAGAAATATAGATTTCACTGAAGACAATAAATAGAAAAGGCAAATGCTGATTGTTTTTTTCCTTCTCCCTTAACATAAGGATTACAATTGTGGATCGTATTCAGTCATTCTGTGTCCCATATTTTTGACTATTTTGTTGTATGTATGTATGTATGAAAAATATAAGTACAAAACTTCAGTAAAATCAAGTAAGAAAACAAATGTCACCCAAAGCGTCAGATTTTCACACTCTAATCAATTCTAGAGAAACCTAGAGTCCAGGAGATACCATGGATTACAGTGAGACTTTTGACATATGTAATATGTCAAGCTTCACTGTAGTCTAATCTTACAGCATTCAGAAGCATAAGGACTGTTTAAGTTCCTAAGCAGTTGAGCATAGGTCATATGTCTCTTAAGTGTGCAAGTACCTTGCTCCTCGGTGATGTGGTCAGGGGCAGTGCCTTACTGGAAAACTTCTTAATTGCAACTAATTACTTATTTTTATTTCAATCTAGAAATACCATGTCAAACCTTCACACACAAACAATATATAGGTGTGTGAACCTCTAGCACAGTGATACTCAAACTGAGACTCAGGAGCTGAAAGTGGTTCTTTAATGTGTCTTCTGCACCTCTTTGCAGCACATGATATTAAAACACGGTGTGATTTAATTACTAACCCATCAGGATGCAGTAAATGAAACAATGAATTCACACTGCTGTGGCTCTTTTGGGTAATGTTGCTCACTAATTTGGCTCCTGTACCACTGAGGTCTGAGTATCACTATCTTCTCTAGCTACTGCTAGAACAAAGAGAGGGCAATGGAAACCTGATACATTTTATAATGTGCCTGGTACCAGGCCTGAAGCTAACTCTGATGATAAGAAAGCAGCACTGTGTGCAGTTTACTGCTTTAATCCTATTTCTTAAACTCTGATTATGCTTAAATCTATGTCATCAAGGTATAGTTAGGTTTGCTGGTTTGTTGTTTAAAAATATAAATCCTAAATATTCTAAATGTCACTTGGCTAGTCATAATTGAAAATATTACACTGTCTGATGCCATTTATTGCAGTGCAAAAAGGGCTCAGTCCCTAAATCCAGGTGAGACAAAGTCAAGAAAAATTGGAGAACTAGATTGTGGTGGTAGAGACAAGCTCTGGAAGCCAAATAATAGTTGTGATGAGGGTATTCAACTTGAAGTTCTGAAGAGGTAATATTTAATTTTGGTGTTAGTTTGTCAAGTTATTATAGTGGAACTGAAATGTTCATGATCTTTCCTGAAGGTTTTCTGGAAACAGCAAAATGGCAAAATCACTTGAAATTGTAAATAAGGTGTTTGTTTGTGATATTTAGGTCAACTAAAAGTTGCTGCCTAATGTTGACCAAATATTTATAACTTGCTGGAAATTTCCTTTTATTTATTTGTCAGAAACAGAAACTTTACCTTAAGCAAAGAGAGACTTTTCACCTTGCTTTATATTTTAGTGTGTATTTGTATCTCTGTATCCCAAGGTGAAGTTTGAAAATGAAGAAAATATTGTGAAATTAATTCATGTTATGATAAAAAAAAGAACACTTGTTTACACAGGTACTTTATTTAATATGATTTGTAAAAATAATCAGTTGGTAGATGCCCCTTCCATGCTCTGGGTTCCCTTGCAATGCTAAATTTTCATTCTTGTAAAATGTGTATATGAACAATATGCTGCTTAATTATCCCTGAATAATTAAGATCAGTAATAAACAGCTTTGGCTAAGACAAAACTCATCCCTTCAGATGTTGTTCTCCCATGACTGGGAGAAAAGATAGATCTTACAGTATGTTCAGAAAGCAAAGGGGAAAGTAAGTTTTAGAGCCTATGGGGTCTTCACTGCAAGTGTCTTGCCATTAGCTCCTCTCCATGTAGAAAGCTAGATCTCCATCTTGAGCACTGCATCTGACCACCACTGCAATTTGTGTGATATGGGGAGAGATGCAATTTTTTAGGTCCTGGTAGAATATTTGTATTGCAGAAGTGCCTCGGAGCCCCAGTCAAGGACCAGGACCTCATTGTGTTAGCCACTGTACAAAGACAGAACAAAGATGGTGTCTGCTTAAAAGTAGCACAAATATATTTTTAGCACATTTTAACCATATACCCCTGAGCCTACTGGCACAGAATTGGGCAGTAATCTGCCTAAGACAAGCAGCTATATTGTAGGCAAGATTTACCCATTTTATAACATTACTGTCTAATTCAGAACAGTATTGTGAAGGTGTTGGGCAAATGCTGGCGATATGGATCCAAATCTTTGTCTTAAAAAACCATTCTTGGCAGTTCTAATTTACTGTAATGGAAAATGTAAAGGGAAAGATTAAATGTAGCCCAATTCAAGACATTATATGCTCTCTAGAATTCTTATATTACTAATTGAAATAAGAGTTTTGTTAGATCCAGAACTTTTTTTTGATTTGCACACCAAACCATAAGAAAACGGCTGACAAAAATAGTTCTTTAATAATAATACTGTGTGCTAACCAGCTGATTACAGACCAAAAGCTCAGGAGCTAGTTAAGTGGCAAATGCGGGGGTGGGGGAATAGATATTCTTTTAGGTTGATTTGTGTTTTTTTTTAATTACTTCAAGCAAAAATACTCATGCCATGATTCTCCAGTAACTTACTGTTTCTTGGTGGTAAGAAGCTTTTGAAGCAATCTTGTATAGTGAACTATTTTATTTTTAAATGGCTATTACATGTGTGATGCTGGTAAGCCAAGTACCACCTCTGGCAAAGACCTAGGCATCAGCTTATAAACTCGTAGCAGGAAGCCAGGCCCGTTCACTCGTGTATTGGTATATACATCAAAGCAATTGTTAAACGTGTAAGAGTGTATGTAGTGTTTAAACTTCATGAAAACTAATGGGATGTTATTAACATGGTTTTCACTTATTTGTATCCTGTTATAATGTAATAGCAAACATTTATATTGTATGCAACTAAATAACGCATCTAATGAGAAAGAAGCCTTGTGTAATGCAAATGAAGAACTTTAACAGGAAAGTGCTAATTCTCGAGCATTTGAAGGCCAGTGGACATTGCTCTCTGATCATCGCACACAAAGACTAAATGCATTCCTCTCTCTCCGCCATCAAAGAAAAAGCTTGGGTAGTCATTCTGTCAGCTTCTTTTCTATAAGAAAATGCTGTACGTATGAACATAAGGAAAAATTCTTCCTCTCTGGATTGTTTGGATTGTAATAGGACAGAATAACTGAATGAGAAGACTGAGATCCCCAGAGTTTTCTGGGTAGTGTTGAGAGACTTTTGGGAAACTGGCAGATTACTACATCTCTGCTCCATTTGAAAGTATAAACTCTGACTCACTGGTACATACATTTTTACCTGCTTTAACCTCTCAATAACTCTCATTCCTTTTAGCTAGCTAATAAGTCATTAGTTAGTTTAGTATAGAATCGGCTGCCAACATTGTTTTTTGGTGTGAGATCTAGGATGGAAATTGACCTGCATTTGTAACTGGTCTCTTGAGACTGGGTGCAATCTGAATATTTTATGATTTTTTTGGTGTAAGTGACCATTTATCACATAGTCCAGCTTACCTGGGTGGCAAGATAGACTGGAGTGTCTAAGGGAACTGTCTGTGACTCCATGATAGGACTGATTTCACCAAGCCAGTAACAAACGTGAACTCCCGGATCACTATATCAATGTTCTTTAGTATGAAATCTTTTAAATCCAGTGCAAACAATGTTAAAGGACATCATTACATTGAACGCTACCTAGCCTTTTATCTGCTTCACCTATGGTGCTAATAGTGAAGAGGATAATGGAGAAAATTGAAATGGTGTTTGGTAAAGATCCTGAAAACCTTCGTAAACTCTAACCCCCTCAATATTCCTATCTGTTGGTAGTTTTCAGTGCTGGCTGCTCAGGACAGGCAAAGCTCTTCCCAGTTGTATCCACAATATACAGGTCAAGGCACCAGATATTTAGAGCAAGGGTTCAGGGACAGGCTGGAGAGAAAAGAATGGAATCAAAGTAAGAATGGGGACTGGATTGTGGAGAAAACAGGACTATCATGTTTCTTTCCTGGGTTTAGAAGGATGAGTCCTCGGTGTGTCCTTTGAACCCCAGATTCAGCAATGCACTGAGACCCATTAAAGTGGATGGGACTTAAGTATGTTGTTAGGTACTTTTGCTGAGCTGTGATCTTTTCCTGCCTACTCATCCTCACTTGTTATGCAGTTTGTTATATAATGGCTTTTCTTAAAAGCTGTGCTGGTGTATGTTTCAGAGGGGACTCTCCTGCACAAGCATTTCGGCAAGGTAAACTTAATTTGTAGAAGTCTTGGGGAATGTATTGTCAGTAGGTTGTCCAGATAGGACAAGATAATGAGAGAACAGTATCATCTATGGTTTCCCAGTTGATCCACGTGGCAAGTGCATAACCTTTGGGACTTCATGACCTTGGTGCTATATACAAGGCTTTGGGAGTAGAAATGAAAGTGTTCTGGGGAGGAAA